GGCGAGATTGGAGTATAACCTAGAAGGGAAGAGGACCATGACAAATTCATCCATATATATCATGAGATCTCACAAGTTTACAGACAACTGCTATTAATCCATGTAATCAACATCTTGACATCTAAAAACCTACATTATTGAGCACTTGAACACGTTTCCCCATGTGTAAGTCTAACAATGAGGAGACTTTAGATGTCTTTTGACTACACTTTACACCACATTGAATCACGCAAAATATCTCGAATTATTCATTTTCTTAATTAAGAATATAAAATCACTTACGAAAATTAATAATAGCCTAAATGATCTATATAAGATAATCTAGCTAGGGTTTTTACGACTAGTAAAGGTTAATTTGGATGTAAGTACCTTGATGACTTCAGATGGTCGGAAACCTCCTATCCACATGAAGCAACGTTCGACCGGAGTCTTCCACATGCCTGAGACAATGTGAAACACATCGGACTTGACAATCATACTCTTGAGGTTCATTAGCTGATCATAGTGTGACAAACAATTGTCTACAAAAATTCGGAGCTCATTTTCGGGTAAATTATCATTCATTGCAATTCGTAGCTCCACCATTAGGCAGTGGTGCTCCTCAAGCCACCTTGCATACTCGATGTCGAATACTGCAGCATCTAGAAATTAATTAAGGCATCCAAGTAAGCTTAATTAATTAATTGCAAATGAAACAAATTAATTTTGTTGATATGAACTACTATCAGGCCGCCTGCCCTCTTCGATATTTATACTTTCTGCTTTCTATTTTCAAGCATTAATAAATATCCAACCAATGTCGTAGTTCGATAATAAAAAGGTTTCAATACCTGAGTTTATGTTTCCCATAGCAACAGGGACCTGACCTTGATTTCCACCTAAAAGAGAACTTCCGCCTAAATAAATCCCCTAAGAAATACAAAAAATTTAATTATAAACCATATTTTTTATTAAAAATTAGCGTAGTTAATTTATTAAACATTATAATTAAGTTGAGGTGAAGAACAAGAATCTAAAATACTTGGGTTCTTGCTCTTTGAATTTCTTGTTCTAATTGAGTAAGCTTAATCCTACTTGACTCCAGCTGCTGAACATAAGCCTGTAACAAATACAATTAATTAAATAGTTTTTACAAATTAATTGAAAGTGCTCGTTCAAATTTCATACACATTATCCCTTCCATTAACCTTTTTCCTAAGCCTGCTTTTCCTTGCTGCCTCCCTATTCTGAGCAAGCCGCCTCAGAGCCTGCGTGCAAATGGAAATTAAGTTCATATATAAATATTTTATATAAATTAACTTCTTAAAAAAGATATAGGAGAATTTGCCTTAGGATCTGGTGTTTTTGGTCCTTCTTGCTCTGAACTCGAAGTTGGTCCTTTGCGGTTTCCCCCACGCTGCCACATCAAAGAAAATGAAACTCTTTTTAATTAAAACAGCAGTGCAAATCTCAGTTTATATACAAGATTCTACCATATTGTTTTTGGACATGTAATTATGTGTATATTTTATGTCCTAACCTTAACTGCTTTGGTTGGTTGAGCAGCAGAAGCAACATCATTTGTAGGGTTGGACAATACCATGGACGGCTCTGATGATCTCTTGGAAACACTGGCAGCTGGTGAAAATTTTCCAGTATTTTCCTACAAAACACCAAATTAACAAAACCCATTTTTGGAAAGATCAAAATTTTTTAACGGTTTTGATCAAAACCTTGGTTGCCATTGTTGATGATGGCTCTACATGCATGGGCTGAGAAGGGAAAATGTTGAGTGTGTGCGGCCTCATCCCAGAATTCTCTGCACTCAGAAAAAATTACTTATAAGCATTAACGGAAGGAAATAATCATACTCTATTGACTGACACTGATAATAATGGAAGAAAAAGAAAGTGGAAAGGAAAGTTCATGCATTTTAAGCTCTCTGCAAAAGCAAACAGAAACAAAGTAAAGGGAAAAAGTTGAAACAAAAATCAATTTTTGATTCGTACTCTCTTTTTAAGTACAATCAGATTTTGTAAGGAATTCTTGTAGCAGAAGTTTGTTACATGTCGTGGTCCATGATTCATAAAACAAGAACCCATATGAAATAAAACAAAATAAAATAAAAACACACATATAACCATTTTTTCTTCAAAACTGTAGGAAAAAAAGGTTCCTTCTCTAAGGATCTGGTCAAAGAAAGTACAATCAGATTTTAATCTGACTGTTCAACATACTTC